GCTGAGGATCCTAGACGGGTTGCGACCGGCCAACCCTCACCAGCCCGGCTAGCTCAGTCGGTAGAGCATGGGACTCTTAATCCCAGGGTCGTGGGTTCGAGCCCCACGTTGGGCGTTCCTTTTTCTGCTGTCGTCGTCGGTACTCACCTCGGTGCCGGGTGACGCCGCGGCTGACTGGTAACCAGACGTGCCTCCTGAGGTCTGACCCGACGCCGGGGCCGAAATGTTTTGCAGCGAGATGGTGGAGCTGCTCGTGTTGGCCGTGTTGGTGGTGTTGGCCGAGGTGCGGCTTGAAGTGGCCGAGTCGTTCCGCGGTGGCGGCTCTTCCGTATCAAGAGCTAAATTCCAAAATTGAAGTGATGGAGTATGATTTGTTACACAGAGTGGTCCGTCAGCGCCGTTCTTACTCCAGGTTATACTGGAACAGATGCAGGTGTGCGGACGGGTTGCTTACTCGCACGGCGCCGTAGGGCGCCTCGGTGAGCAAGGGTAGGCAAGCCCGCCCGCACGCCTGCATCCGGTACAGTATGATGGGAAGAAAGAACGGCGGACCACCTTTCAAGTGTTCGGCGACTTTATGTATCAAAGAGCGAAGAAATGGCACTTACGAGCCAGAGGGTGTCGCGCTGACGGCAGTGCCCTCGCACTGTGTGTGATGCTCTGGGCGTTACTTGTGGTACTCGAGGCGCTTTGTTGAGATGGTGGCGAGTTGGTAGGCCGTGCCACCACAGGTTTGTAGGGCAGGACATGGTGAGGCAGTTCACTGTCGCTGAAACAAGTAACAGAAATTCCACTCTGAGCTAGCCAAATAGTGATGCCGCTGACACAGTATGTGTGGTACTCAACATTTCGGCACTTGTACGGTGTTGTTGCTGTACTGGTTTAATAAGGGAAATAATATTGGCAATGAGAACCACTCAGAGTGCCCTCCCCCCGTACACCCTGCAAGCAGGGAGTGAACGATCATCGATGACTCGGTCTAACACTATGGTCAGCCCGCGTCTGCCTCACGCTCAGGGAAGAGGACTACGTCTCATCCTCGTGGTTTCATTGACTCTACTGTTGAGTAGAGAGAAGTGAAGACGTACTACAGAAATGATCCTGTGAAGTACAGTCTTAACATTTCACTGTTTCGGAGGGTCATCTGTATGTTGTCCCACCCGAGATCAGCAACGCGAGTCAAAAGAACCTCGATATCAAGACAAGCTGAGACACGAGCTGCTTAATGCGCTTAACCTACTCCGCGCCGAAGTTGCGCCAACGGTGCCTTCGATGCGGGACACGTTGGCGCTCCGTGGGGTGTGCTGTCCTCTGGCGGATTAAGCAGACACTTCTCCGCCTCGGCCCTGTGCTCGGCACGGCGGTGTCGGCCCGATCCGATCAGCGCCAGGCGGGCACAGAGCCCGGGCGGCGTGCTTAACCCTTAACTTTAGCTTAACTTCTGTTACAGACGTTAAGCACGTGGTTTTTGAATACGGGGCTACCGTCCTCGGGTATGGTCAACATAGAAAACCCGGGTTGTCCGTGTAAACGCTGCAATACGGGTCTTATGGGTTCGAGGAGATAAGTTCTCGACATGTATTGGATTTTCAAATTTGAAGTTGCAACACAATTTTATTGCGGACGGTTCTGTTCTACCGACGGGGAAAATGTGTTATAATTTGTCTTCAGCCAGGTATTTTAGTGCGCGTGCTCGCAAATCTGCGAATCTGGGAGACGTTTCATCACAAGTTTCGCTCAGATCGTTCAATACGACATACGCGTTAAGCACAGCAGCACGACAGCGTATATTGAATTAATTGTGATATGTATATTGGTAATGAGAACCACTCA